CTCATTGGAAGTCACGAAAAAGCGGTGGGTTTTTCGAGAAGCTGTTGATCGTGTAATTACCAAAGAGTTTTTCGTCTTTTGTAAGTGTCATTGAAGCGTTTGGCCTAGTAGATTGTATATCAGTATACCCTTCCAGACTCTGAAGAAGGCGATACTGCCGAAACATCAGCTAGCGTTGTATTGTATTGTGTTTTTCTATGGAAGTAAATGTATGCTGTTTAAACACCTCGCGATTGCTGAACAAGAAAACGACACAATGATATTACTAGTTCCCAGGATCGACTTTCTCTTAACCTCGGCATTGGAATATGAATGTGTCGTTTTCTTGTTCAGCAATCGCGAGGTTTTTAAACAGCATACATTTACTTCCATAAAAACACAATACAATACAACGCTAGCTGACGTTTCGGCAGTATCGCCTTCTTCAGAGCCGCTTTTTTCGTGACTTCCAATGAGGAAGTTTAGTGAATGATATTACTTTGTCGTCCACGTGGTCAATGTGTCCCAATGGATAAACCGTTTGATTTCTAGTCAGAAGATTTCCAGTTCGGGACCGGCTATGGGTTTACTCGTGAAAACGTTTGATAAGCCCGTGGCTTTGCATCCATGGAAAAGTGCGTTTGACTTCAACTCTTGAAATTGCAAATGCGACGAACGATTATTGTGTTCTACCATCCCGCCAACGATATTACCATTGATGACTGCGTAGCCCACGTGGCCTAAAGGATAAGGCGTCTGACTCCTAATCAGAAGATGGCCGGTTCGACCCAGGCCGTAGGTTTTCCTTTGAATCGTTCGACAGGGACAAGCAAATTGTCCTGCATTTCTTTTTCAAGTAAGGTTGACTATTCAAGGAGCATCTCTGTCCTGATTTTTCGAGTAATCTCTAAAGAAGAGAAACGTGCAGTGTGCAAATCACAATAGCAGGTTAATCTTAAACTTCGCAGTTTGTTTGTAAAATACAGTGAATGATCTACACTTCATGAAGAGATCCATCATGTAATATAAAAGTAGAATAGGTTTAAAGCGTTATCGTGAATTTGACGTAGGGTGCCACAAGTGAATCTGATCGATCAGAAAGACAAACTACATTGCTATGAGTACTCAAATGCAAGGCTTTCCATTCCTTAATCGGTCTGGAGAAACCTAGAGTGCATTGCCATTTCCGAAAAACAAAATGGAAGCTTACCATTTTCCTCGAATTGACATAATGATCCATAGAAACCGATAGGGCAAGTACACTCCACCATTCCAATACCGTTATCTTCGCATATGCCACCGTTTTGGCAAGGGTTCCCAATGCATACCGACACCTGCAAATAGGTGGAATTCTATCCAAGAACAATTATGCTAAATGATTAAAGTCTAAGAATATGAATAAGAAACTTTTCACTCATTTTCTCTTTACCTTTTCACAGTGAACTCCATAATAGAATTCAGGACATGCGCACCTATATTGGCTTTCAGATGTGGGCTGAAATTATTGGTATTTACCAAGTTCAATCATAAAGCATGGAAATCCAGCAAATTACAGATAATACTTTTCTGGGACTGATTGTAAAGACAATGGTCCCACGATGGAATGACTTCTGACGGTTCATTTATTCAACGAGATAAAGTTCGTCACCACCAGTCGGGCGGTCCCAATACGAGCTAGCTTCTGTTATGCTCTCACCAAAAAAATCAAGGGAATGAAGTGAAGAAAAGAAGATAACAACGATGTGAGGCCAGAGCCTGCCAGCAACGGCAAACAGAACTCCTACACAGATAAAACCTGCATATCTAGCTGAATTCCATTTTCAGTTTCGTTTTTTCTCAGCCTTTCCGTTATTCTCCCTACCTTGCAGGTACCTCCGTTCATACATTTTCCTACGTTGCATATAGTAGAATTGCTTGTCTGACAGCCATGTTCACCTAAATTAGATTCACCATAGGATAGAGCTGGTTGATTTTTAAAGGAATAAAAAATAAGATCACAAGTATCTGAACTGAGTAACTGACCGATTCCATCTCCCATAGTACCAACTGGGCAATGACAGATAAAGCCACCCGGATTCAAAGACGTCGGATCTTCAACACATGTGGCATCAGGATGACACGGAGCGTTATCGCATGCGGAATGCCGACGACACGTGCGACCGTCGCCACGATAACCTGCGGAGCACAGATCGGAACCATGAATCAGCAAGCAGATTTTGGGAAATATTGGAAACCGTTGGCCTACCTGGTGGACATCTACCACAATGAAACGAGCCGATTGTGTTAAAGCATGGGACATGTGGATTTGAGGAGCATGGATAGTTCGCTGCTGCACACTCGTCAATATCTGCGCATATTTGACCGTTGCCTGAAGAACGTATGAAACTTTCTGGATATGGCAGCAAATATGGAAAAGGTCAGACATAAAATATTAATAGTAATTGTTCAGAGCTACATGCAAACATAAATAATGATTTCGTAAAGGCAAACGTCAATGAAACTCGATATTCTCACCGTGATAACCTTTAGGACAACCAGTGCATTGAAATTTCCCTGGAAGATTGATGCAGTCAACACCCGGATGACAGGGATGGTCCTGACATTCGTCGACGTCGACGCACGTTGGATTCAATTTGTCGTCGGAAACCTTGTACCCCCAATCACAAATACATTTATAAGTGCCCTGAAGTTAAGTAATGTACGCTGAATTAGTGGTAACGTCAAACCACGACTATCGTACATCTGTTTCCGATGTGTCGACATCGATACAATGACCATAAGGCCCACACAATTCGATTGATCGAGAGCATGTGGATTGTCGATATTGGCACAGGGGACCATGAAATCCGGCTCGGCAATTGCATCTAAAGCGATGACGAGCACACTGTTAATGTTGCTATTTATGTGTTGGATGCGAGACAGCAGCACACCTCTGGATATTCATGCATATATTCACTGAGCCGACCCGTTAGGAAAAAGAAAACTTGGGCAACCGTCGTTATATCACTGTGCTACTATACCTATGCCACTGCAACGAATTTAGCTTTCTTTAGATCTTCGAAAGGTAATTAGAGTGATAACTTTTTCGGTTCTTTAAAACTTCGTCAAAACATGAAGCATATAGTAACAAAAAAGAAGATACTGTTGTAAAAAGTTGGTTTTTGCTTCCGCCACAGCATAGGAATTTAAGGACTAGCGCTAACGCTAGTAGGAATTTGATCTCACACGGTACTTCGGTACTTTCAACTTCGTCACTGGCATTTTGTGAAAAAGTCTCACAAGAGGAAACTCTGTTGGACGCTTTACTATTTAAAAAAGCTGCAACACCGGAAAGATTTCATAGAGCACACCTGAAACCTGTGTCATGATTTACACATGTTGCGTTATTCTGGCATCCACCATGTGTACCGTCATACAAGGCACATTCATCGACGTTATTATCACAGTTATCACCCTTAAAGATGGAAATTCCTCCCCAAATAAACAAAATAACATTGTAGCCAATCATAATCATGTTGAAATATAACTTCAATGATGCTGAGATATTTGCAAAACTCCGGACTACGGGTGTCTGAGGTGGGGAACGAACGCGTTATTGTCCTTTCCGGGTAGTTACGTGTTCACCACCACACCATGTGGGTCCTTCGTTTCGCCTGTCTCTGAGCTAGTTCTATCGATTTCTGCCATCAGCAAACACCCGTCAAAGAGATTGGTCTTGGGATTCAAATCGGCATTGAACCCAGTTATGGTGAGGCTATAGTTACAATCCTATATTTCGCAATATACCTTGCCATTAAAAAAGAGTAGGCAGTAAATAAAAAGATTAAGATGTTGAGATATTTCCAACACTCCGTTGATGGATGATTACTGATGGCACTGATGGATAGAAAGCTAGGGTGAAAGACAGGCCAAACGAAGAACCTGCATGGTGCGGTAGTCACACGTTATCCTCCGGAAAGTATAATAGCTGGTTCGTTCCCCATTGCAGACACCTGTAGTCCGAAATTTTGCAAATATCTCAACGCCATCATGCTTTATTTCACATAACACAGTGAAAAATTTTAGTAGGCAGGAGGTAAAAAGTTAACTTTGTAGCCAATATTGTTACCCTCGATGTTGCCGAAAGCTGTTACAAACAAACGGGTAATTTTTATTGAAGTGCATACCGTACGATGAGGAGGACAAAGGCAGTTGTAATTTTTGCCGAATCCCGGCAAGCATGTCCCACCGTGCTTGCATGGCTTATCCTCACATCCATTTAGCGCCAGCATTTCACTTAGAACTCTAAAATCTTATGCATATCCACGGTACCGCTCATTTCATTACATCATTTTTGGCGCTCATTCACGATTATACTAGACGACGACTATGGAAGAATAAGAAAATTAGCTTGACGTGGTGCTGAAATTGAAAAGATAGTTCTATCAAATTTAATCTATCCGATGATCAATCTACATGGTGAAATTCCCCTACCTGCATCCGAGTTTTTATTTCATGAAGATGGGCTCCATTAGGAAACTCTATTGGGCCAACCAAGTTCTTAACTCACCCACTCATCTTCATACTCTGCGCGTCCCACAAGCTGTTTGTCTCATAAATCACGCATGAAGGCGCATAAACACATAGAACCCTAGGTCCTTTGTTTCTAAATATGATATTTCATCGAACACACTTGATACTTTTTTGCAGCCGAACCACCAATCGTCGCAATTTCACATCCCTAACTGTTTTGTTTTGTCTCCATTCTTGCAACTGCTTGATTTCAGCCGTAAAGTTTTTACTCTGAAAAATTTGTCTCCGTTTGTTTTTAAAGCTCATGTGACTGGTTCACTAGTTCATGTATTAACTTTATTTCTATGCCGTTTTTAGACGTAGATTAATTCTCTAAAGGGCATCGGTCCGACTCGCTCACCGATTGTAATAGACGTCTTGAGGCTGTCGCGACAAGTAGAAGTGTGGACTGATGAGAATCAATACGAGACTTGAAAGTCTCTTGTCCTGCAGCAAGCATTTCGACCTTTTCCTTCAAAGCAATAAATTGCGCCTAAATAAGTTAGTTCAGCTCATTAAAAAAAGATGCTTCATGTGAGAGAAGAAGTATCATTAGCGTAGAGCTAGACGATGACATAAACTAGGAAAGGATAAAGCGTGTGGAGTTGATTAATTTATAAAAATTCACTGTGTATTCGAGCCTATTCGTAGCATCCCAGAGATGGCTGAATGCATATCCGGCATATGGAATCACTTGCAGAAACAACAGGTGTATTCAGCATTGGTTTTTATTACTCAAAAGAACTCCGGCAGCAATATTCCAACCCCTAAGGGATGGAAAGCTCGGTGCTAACGAAACGCAGAATTGAGCCTTTGACCAAACCAGTGTGTATTGCAGTGTATCTCTAGCCATTGGTAAATACTTTTGAAAGTATGTATATATAATCACAATTTCAGCTGATTATTGCCTGCCTACTCTTTTTTAATGGCAGGGTATATTGCGAATTATGCTTCAATAATGCTGAGATATTTTCAAAACTCCGGACCGCAGGTGTATGCGGTGAGAAACAAAAGCATCATTAAAGTTATATATATATATATATATATATCCCAATTGATGGTCACCATTCGCGGCAACCTAGGCGCAAACGACAAGACAAAGGGATGGGCACATTATGATTCCAGGGAAGACTCATAGAAGGCGCTGAGTGTGCGATGAAGCTATTCTGTGTTCAATGTGATCGAAATCTTGGTTCAGTGTTTTCTTTGTTTGGTTATGGAGGTGTTTGGCCGAATAGATTGCTGTCAACTTGACCTTTCTAGGCTCTGAGGAAAACGAAATGCGCAGAAACGTCGGGTTGTAGGTAAATAAAGAAATAAAATAACACCTCGTGTTTGCTAAAAAAAGAGATGAAAAAACGTCAAGACAATTTTTCTCTATATTTAGGTGCTTATTTTACCAGTCCTTTCTTGTGGGCTCATCGTAGCTAGAAGGTGTTCATTGGTGTCGCACTACGATGTACAACGGGAGTCTATCTTCCCAGCATGGCCTCCCAAGTTGAAAAGGAGTTCGACGTTTTCATCTGATCTGATGAACGAAATTGGAACTACCACCATATCTAGATATGATATAAAATTGACTACGAAAAAGTTCTAAAACAGCCTTTTTCGTCCCACAATCCCCATCTCGGACAACGTAATCTTCGCTAGAGAAAAACCGCCGAATATTCTATCCTGTGAAGTCTCAGTTGCGGTAGAAAGCATAAGGAACAACACAGGTCCAAGAACCAACAATATTACCGCTGACTTTGGTCGAGCTGGAGGCCACAGATTGCAAGTACTTTTCACGACTTCAGAAGAGGAAAATCTCTGACCACTAGAGGACGTCACGCGCGGACATACTGCCCAGGAAGGTGACTTAAAAAATCTACGTAACTACAATTCAGTATATGCTTGCTGAAGGTGCTATAAAGGCTGTTAACCAACACTATCAATTTGCACATGTCGAGGATCCTGGATGAAGCACAACTACATGAATAAGAATCTGAGAAAGATTCTCTCTCATGGACCACACCAAAATCGTGTCATGAGTCACGAAATCTGTTGGGAATACTTTTTGCACCTTGTTCCAATCTTTATCGACTACGAAAAACCATTTCAGAGTATCGAAACGAATGGGACCGCATCAGCTCTCGTGGACCGGCGAGTGGACTCGACCTTACCAACGCTTAGTTCACTATTATGGGAACTGCAGAATTAAAATACAAGTTTTCTGTCGAACTCAAACCTCACCCATGGGAATAGCAGTTCTAAAAGGCAACAAAATATCGCCGAAGCTGTTTACCGCCCCACTCCAGTGTCATCCGACTGGTCGAGAAGAACATGTGCATTGATGGGAAATTCCTATTAAATCCTCGTTTTTCCGACCATTTCGTCGTCTTTTCAAGTCTCAGCGAAAAAGATACGGTGCTAAATGAGCTCAGTGGAGTGGAAAAAAGATTGGATTGCTTGTAAATTAGAAGAAGAACCATTTTACGAGAAACCCATGATTCGAAGTCGAAAAAATTGGAATGGATGTTGTTCTGATTACAGATACCACCTCGCTTGTGTACGTTGGAGGTTCACTGAACATCGAGAACAAGCTGCCCAACTAAGGAACTCTACACTCATCTTTAGAGCTCAGCAACTCTCCCAGTGCTCTCATATGCAGCGGAGAGACATGAGCTATTCAACCATGCCAAGAAATTTGCTCACTGCCTACAAAACGCTTAAACGATGTTTTCTGAAAGTTAACCAGCCTCACAATGTCTAACCGGAGTGCACAAATTAGATTTTTGAGGCATTTTTCATCATCGGAATCTGGGAAGAATTATAGATAGATGTCAACGTACGGATGGGCCAGTAGCGTAACGAGAACAGCAGATGAAAGATGGAGGAAAAGATTATTAGAGTGAATTCCCTGAGAGAATGCAAATGTCTTCTCGACCGACGACGCAAATGATGCGTGGAAGTGTTCGTGGTTATTCGCAGACGGATTCGATTTCAGGAATTCGTAATGGGCTTTGCGAACGTCACCATGTTCGGGGTAGAAAATGGACGAAGATTAAGTGAGACAGAAGCGAATGGAATTGGGTTGGTGCCCGTACTACTGACGTAAACACACCGTTCAAGTATCTAAAGGAGTATATAAATGTACATACAACGGTAGATCACCGCAACTCATTGTAGAGGCCAGCCAGATATGCATTCAATCACCTCCAGCAGTGTTTAATGAAGTCGAATGTATGTCGCATCCTTAAGGGATTGATCAACGCCGAGAGCTTTATTCTTTAATTCTTTAGCTGTTCCTACTAAGTCCAATGTTTTTTCCTCAAACAGACACAACGTTGTCAGTAAGAGATTCATCCTACACTGGTTAACGTTCCGGTAATATCGCCCTAAAGATATTTTTCTCAGTATTCGCTAATTAAGCCTGCTATGCAGCATGCTACAAATATTACGGAAACTCGACATAACAACAAAATGTTATGACCATAAAATGGCTCATTGTGTCAGGCTTATGTGCCCAATTACCAGCCGTCGGAAAATCCTTTTTAAGAATCGAAAACAACATTTTTAACTTGTTATTTACTGCCTACTCTTTTTAATGGCAGGGTATATTGCGAAATACGACTTCAGTGATGCTGAGATATTTGCAAAACTCCGGACCGCAGGTGTCTGCGGTGGGGAACGAACGCGCGCTATTGTCCTTTCCGGGGAGTAACGCGTTCACCACCACGCTATGCGGGTCCTTCGTTTCGCCTGTCTTCTAGCTGTAATTTAAAACATTTTTGTGCAAAAAGCCATATAAGACTGTTTAGGATAATCATTGTGTTCAAGGAAAACTTGATAACCGAAAGACGGTAACCAGTCACTGTCGAGCTGCACAAACGACCAGTCACCGTCGACCATTGTCATCTGTGACTACCCCAAGAATAACAGATGATATTACGTGTTTTTCATGATGATATGACTGATACCAGTAATATGCCACTGTTCCTATTTAAAGCGCTATCCTTCACTCTACCATTTAGTCCTATAACTCATAAAAATGGGCATACCAGAAGGCGACTATGAGAAAGGTAAAAAGGTTAGCGAATTAACTTGTATACCTTGTTTGTTTTTTAGCTCCACTTTTTCTTTTTACAAAAATCATTGAAACGAATGTCATTCAGATTTTCAAACAACGCTGTGCACAATGCCATGTGATTGATTCAATGGCGACGAAGACTGGTCCCACACTAAACGGCATTATTGGACGTACTTCTGGCACAGTGCCTGGATTCGACTACTCGGATGCTAATAAGAATAAGGTGAGATGCCATCACATTACACCAGTAATGTTGAAGCATAGCGAAGACGATAACACAATCGACTGACGTGAGAACAAAATTCTGTGGCGTCGCCGTTCGTGAATATTTTGTTCGGCACGTATCGATTTTGCTTCGTTGTGAATCGCTTTTCTATGACAACATTAGTTAGCTGGAAAAAATTTTTCTAAACAAGAAGAACCATTTTGAAAATTTAGGGAGTGGTCTGGACGCGTGAGACGCTTTTCGAATATTTGCTTGACCCAAAGAAGTATATCCCTGGGACAAAGATGGTGTTTGCTGGTATTAAGAAGCCCGGTGAACGAGCTGACCTCATCAAGTACCTCGAACAAGAAGGAGGAAAGAAAGCTTCTTAACAATACTAATAAGAAGAAATAAAGAAAAAATATCGACCATGAATCAAAACACATACACATACACATACACATACACATACACATACACATACACACACACACACACACACACACACACACACACACACACGCACGGCAGTCGCTGAATGTTGATCCTTATGAATGAATGGGATGAGCAAACTATTAGATGTCTTATGCTATCCTCATAAGTAACACTTCGTTGCACACTTCTTCATTCTGGCAAACACCTCGTTCTGCTTGCTTCGTAGTGCAGCTCGAAGTAGTTCCATTTCGATGCCTCGTACTTGTTGGCTGTTCTCCGGTTGACCGCATATCTCGTGAAGTCGCTTTCGTTTTTTTTTTAATTTTTTTATATCTCGATTTTCAGATGGTCTAGGAAATATTTCGCAAAAATAAGGGGGTTGGCAATGGGACAGCGATTGGCACCAAGCCTTGCCATTGTGTTTATGTCTAAGATAGAAGCCCCTGTTCTCGATCTCCGGCCACTACTCTACTGCAGATATGTAGATGATTGTTTTGTCGTCTTCTCTACGCAAGAGGAGATGGACAAATGCTTTGAATTATTGAACGAGCAGTACAATACAATACAACACTAGCTGACGTTTTGGCAGTACAGCCTCCTTCAGAGCCTGGAAAGGTATACTGATATACAATTTACTAGGCCACATCGAACTGGCCCCGTATGTATCAATTTCTGATGTGGAATGGTGCAGTCATCAACCACATGCGACTATAATTAGCTGTTCTAAACTCCCTCATTGGAAGTCACGTAAAAAGCGGTGAGTTTTTCGAGAAGTTGTTGACCATGTAATTACCATAGAGTTTTTCGTCTTTCTGTAAGTGTTACTGAAGCGTTTAGCCTAGAAGATTGTATATCAGTATACAGTATATCATGTATATCAGTATGATTGTATATCAGTATATCATGCAATCATCGTCCCTGCCGTAAGGGCAAATTACGCAATTTGTTGTGTCTGTGTCTAAGATAGAAGCCCCTGTTCTCGATCTCCGGCCACTACTCTACTGCAGATATGTAGATGATTGTTTTGTCGTCTTCTCTACGCAGGAGGAGATGGACAAATGCTTTGAATTATTGGACGAGCAGTTCGAGTACATAAGGTTCACCCGGGAGAAACAGAGAGAAAACTGGCTTCCGTTTTTAAACGTTCAAATAAACCTATCAAGTAGCGGTTACCTGACAAATTGGTATCGAAAGCCAAGTAACAAGAACATTCTTGTTCATTTCCTTTCTTCTCACCCTTCACACACAAAGAGGGCGATTGTGAGCAACATGTTTCGAACAGCCGCCTCTGTGTGCACTACCAGGGAACTAAAGGAAGAATCGCGCGACTTGGCTCGGCAAATAGCCATCTCCAATGGCTACGAAATAGCAACCCACGAGATAAGTTTACAAGGAGAACGACGCGCCCACGCGAAACACTTGGCCAAAAGAAAGTCCCGTTCATGTTGCCTTTTATAAGCGATGAAGTAAGCGTAGCTATAAAACGATGCTTAAGAAGGGAAGTCTAGAGGAATCGGTAGCGATAGTTGAAATACCACCGGCTACTCTACGTCGCCAATTAGTTCGCANCCGCCTGTATGACCGTCTGTGTGAAACAACAAATTGCGTAATTTGCCCTTACGGCAGGGACGGTGATTGCATGAGTTCAGGTACGATATACCTGATCTCTTGTAACAATTGCGGAGGTGAATATATTGGCGAAACGGGCAGACCTATGTGTATCCGTGTAAAAGAACACCTAGATGGCAAACGAAAACTAAGACGAAGCACCCCACTAGGCACGCATAGGATACAAAAGCATAGCGGAGACGATTTTGAAGTAAAAGTCAATATCCTTGCACAGGAGTCCAAAACACCAGCGCGAAAACTCCTTCAGGCTTTTTGGATAAATGCCAAAAACCCTACAATGAATAGCAGGGACGAATGCCCGGAGGTCATACGCGACCTGATCCCGTATGTTCGCATCGATTTTTGATGTGGGATGGTGCAGTCGTCAACCACATGCGACTATAATCAGCTGTTCTAAACTTCCTTAATGGAAGTCACGAAAAAGCGATGGGTTTTTCGAGAAGTTGTTGATCGTGTAATTACCAAAGAGTCTTTCGTCTTTTTGTAAGTGTTATTGAAGCGTTTGGCCTAGTAGATTGTATATCAGCATGCCCTTCCAGGCTCTGAAGAAGGCGATACTGCCGAAACGTCAGCTAGCGTTGTATTGTATTGTGTTTTTCTATGGAAGTAAATGTATGCTGTTTAAAAAACCTCGTGATTGCTGAACAAGATAATTCTAGCGACAATAAGATCCCGTTTATCCTGCCCTTCATTTGAAATGAAGTAAGCGCGGCCATGAAATTCTGCTTGAGAAGAGCGGGTCTGGAGAATTCGGTAACCGTAATTGAAATCCCACCCAGTACTCTTAGACGTCAGCTAGTTCGTAACCGCCCATATGATCGTCATTTGCAACGCAAAATTGCATAATTTGCCCTAAAGTTAGAGACGGTGATTGCATGAGTTCGGGTAAAGTCTATCTGATCTCTTGTAAAGCGTGTTTAGACCAATATATCGGCGAAAGGGGTAGACCACTCTCTTTCCTTGTAAAGGAACACCTTGTCGATAAAATTAAACCAAATACTCCATTAGGCACGCATGGGAGGCAGAACTAGGGGTTACGATCCTCGCGCGCGAATCAAGAACACAGGCGCGAGAAACTCTCGAGGCATTCTAGATTAATTCCAGAAGTTCGAAAATGAACCGTAGGGAGGAATGCATCGTTATCACGCGTGATATAGGGCAGTATATAAAACTGCTTTTCTGATGTGAGGGGCACATTATACTTCCACGTGATTTCTGTGCGGTTGGTCTCTACGTGACATACTTAGTGGAAACCTCATAGAAAGCGGTGAGTATGCAGGGCTATGTTAAATGTGATTGAAATCTTGGTCTAGCGTTTTCTCTGTTTGGTTATAGAGGTGTTTGGCAGGGTAGATTGCAATCAACGTGACCTTTACAGGCTCTGATGAAGGCGAAATCCGCCGAAACGTCGGCTTAGTTCGTAAATAAAGAAATAGAATAACATCGCGTGTTTACTAAACAAGAATATAAAGACTCTATACTCTCATAATTCATAAGTAGTTTCTTGCCAATCTGAACTTCGTTCTGCGTTATAAATGCCTTCTAAATTTGTTATGCATTTTAATCCCTTTCCCCTATTTAGAGAAAAGATATAGCCTTTTTGTTCCACGTTTCAAAGATTTTATTGTTTTACCGCCTCGTTGCTTGCCATGGAAAGCAGATTTTTCAATTAGTTGAGTAGCTAACAAAAACCTTATTAAGTTTATACATAGATATTTAAAATATATATTGGAGAGATCTCTAACCAGTTCGGGTAACTTAGAGATATCGGTTCGATCAATGAAAATCGACCCGTCTCCACTCGTCTGGAAGGTGATGTTCTTGTTGCGACCCGCGTGAAACCACATATGTCCGTCGATCATCAGGAGACGTGATCTTAATGTAGGACGATAAGTTTGACTTCGAAGATTAAATAAGAGGTCCGAAATAAAACTACCGCAAAGTTATTGTTTTTTTTTGTTAACAGTTTCTCATCAGCCGATTAAGTGCAAGCGCGAGCTCCCTTAGATTACGAATAGAGTTTGCATTCGGGCAAGGACCGGCCGAACATTTGCTTACTCTAAGACGATAGTGTATTCAGTAGATCTAGTTAGGATTGGATTATCCTTTCATCTATTTTTATAGCATCTTATTGGTGGACACACTGTTGAGCCTGCTTTCGTTTCTGGAATGATGCCCACGTATCCATCTGGACAAAATTCTGCACTCGACCGGAATTTATCCGGGAAGTGATTATTGTGAATTGTGGAAAACCATCAAGAAATAAGCCTACGTTTACTCTGGGAACACCACAAGCCTTCCATGTGTACCCTCATTTCCCACCGGAGATCATGCCGAAATATCCATAGGAATAATGGTGATCTTACCGACCTGTGACAGAACTGTTCTGAGAATTGAAGATTGGTAGCATACCTGACGCTGAGGGCTCCCAGGGTTGAGGGGATTACGTATCAATTCGTTCCAGACATGGTGATGCACTCCAACAGAAGCAACGCTCTGGTTCGATCGCTCCCAACGCTCTCCTCCAATCCACGCTAGATCACCTTTGCTCAGTTATTTGAAAGATCGCCACGAGAGTCGTCTCGGTCAATATTTAACGGCATTCATGAAGAAGAAGAAAGCCTCGAGCACCGGCCGAAACGACACGCGAAATTTTCTAAGACATTTGTGGACGATGAGGAAAACGAATGGAACGCTGCAAAAATTCCTGACATCCACACAGCAGATCTGAAGCCGGCTTATGTAAAACAAAAAAATTCTTGCTACAGAGTGACGTCAACAGTGCTTAAAAAATGAATTAAATCCATTAAAGCAATTTTGTTGGCATTATATTTACAACTTTTCGAAGAGAAACGCTCAGCAATGATATGGCTTCAAGATAGAGCAGTTGATGGCACTCTTAAAAGAATGCTTGAGCTGCTCAATCTTCAGATGGCCCGGAAAGTACTACGCTCAAATAAGAGGGTTGGCAATGGGACAACGACTGGGTCCAAGCCTCGCCATTGCATTTATGTCTAAGGTGGAAGCACCGGTGACTGATCTCGGGCCGCTACTCTACTGCAGGTATGTAGACGACTGCTTTGTCCTTTGCTCAACACAAGAGGAAATGGACAAATGCTTCGAATTGTTAAACGCACAGTTAGAGTATATCAAGTTCACCCGAGAGAAACCGAAAGAAAGATGGCTTCCATTCCTGAACGTCCAAATTAACCTGTCAGAAAATGGCTACATTACGAAGTGGTACCGAAAGCCAAGTAGTAAAAACATCTTGGTACATTACCTCTCTTCTCACTCCTCTCACACGAAAACAGCGCTTGTAAGAAACATG